ATTCTCTGTTTACGAATTCGCAAGAAGAATTCGTAAAAGTTTTTAAGAGTATCCGTACGAATTCGATACAGTTCGCATCAATTCGGTACGAATTCGCAGAATAAGGGTAAAACGCGAATTGTTGCATCATTTTTAAGCTTAAAAGTTGCGATTCGTCAATTCGTCTTTAGACACTTTGTCCACACATCTCGTCAAAGTGAGACAACTTCGTCAACTTATCTATTAACTTTTCTCCCTTTTAGGGGGTGGTAAATCATACCATATAGATCGATTTACAAATGCTGCCGATACTGTTGCTGATATATTTGAAGATCGACAATTGCAACAAATATTTCGAAACCCAGCGGCTGAAACAGTTGACAAGACATCATCACCGTATGCATTTTTACAATCGATCAACCATCAGGAACTTAGTTGGCAATTGCAAAACCAAAATACTGCTTTAGTAGCAGGCGATGGTGGTAAGGCAAAAATGATTTTTTCATTTTTGATGTGCACCATATATATATAAAACTAGAATGTCGTTTTTTTTCTAGATAGTGTATTGGCTCTACTGGATTTTTATGACACAACCAAACCGAGCGGATTACAAGCTCAAAATGTTCTTATTGGAGGATGGGATGGGTTTAAGAATACACACAAGAATACACGAACATATTCAATAACAGCCAAGAATAAATTTATGACGATTGTTGTTGGTTCAACAGGTATAAACAAATCTATATCAACAAAACAACAACAAATATAGTCTAAAACAAATCTCACGCCTGTTTTTCAACGTTTGTCTTGATCTCTCTTCCTACGGACGCAAACAAATAAAATTAGTATTAGTAGAAACATTAAAAAAGTTTCTTCTAATTTTTCACACTAAAAACTTTGCTTAGCGCTGAAACTTGGCTAAGCCCTACAGATGGACTACTCGAACGAATGTGCGTTGTTTTTAAGAGATAAAAAATAGTCCAAAATAGCGAAAAAATTGCCACAGTATATTCGATCATTTTCTCATGATAGAAGAAAATCATTTCCTTTTGTCGTTTCTAGGTGAAAAGTTTAACGATCTTCTGGAATATTATTCGAAAACAAACAATACATCTGGTCTTCGAGAACGTTTTACAATTATTGCATATCCAGGTAGACCAGAAGCAACATTTGATGAATCAATTATAGATATACAAACAGAAGTTGATTATGATTATGAACAACAACATGCACCATAGCAACAAGAAGAAATAATTAAAGTCATTAGAAAAATTATATGCAACACTTATTTGTATTGAATATCGAATATATGATTATAGTAAACAAGGTTACCACGATTATCAACTATGTTTAAAATATATAAAAAATGGTCGTTTACCGGCTCTCCAATCCATTGATACAACAATGCATGTCGAACGTCAATCAGAATCACCACAACAAACAGCAATATATGTCAGATCATATCAAACATGTTGGAGAAAAGCATCATCACTCGAACAAATATTTCTGGCATTACGATTACTTGGTGAACTACATCAACAAAATCCAACATTAAAAGAACAATCGTTGAATAAAAATTTCATTCTGGAAATGAAACAAATCGTTGATACACAATTACATGCATTACCAAATCCAATAAATATAACGACCTCAACAGCTGACACAGTTCTACCAAAGAAAAAAATACAGCTATATTTATTGGCTCATCAGCATTCAAAATAGCGGTACAATTAACCATCAAACTAGCACTTCCACAAACATCGGATATTTTTCAGTTACATGATACCAATAATTTACCAATAGCTACAATACATCCAACTGTTGAATATCATCTCTTTCAACAATCATCATTATCGTTAATAACTGTGTGTAATTCACTTTGTATAGACAATCCATTATTAGTATTTTTAACAGATGATATTAAATGTGAAAATTATATGGCTATATGTGTCCTTTTTATACAATTACGTACTCAATTAATGCAAAAACTTATTTTAAATGATGAAGAAAATAGTATAACCCGCAAAACTCTGGTGTGAAAAAGAAAATGAAAATGAAAGTCATACAATAAATTCTTTTAGGGAATTATTAGAACAGAAATCATTAGAAGATGAACAAAAAGAGGCTGCAGATCAAGAAGATTATACGAAAGACAATGACAATTTACTAATTATTATAGAATCTGACGAATTACAGCAACAATAACAACCAGAAAATGTTCATGAACTACAGACTAAAGAAAGCAATGTAGATCATTCCGATTCATTGACTACCACTATTAAAGATTAGCAATTTGAAATTCAATTAAAGACAATAGATATTTCATCGAATCATCTTACAAATAAAATAAAAGAATTATCAATTTTATTGAGTAAAACAATACAGCCTAATTTGTTGAAACCTCAAAAATATGTAATACAACTTCCGAATAATCAGCTAGAGATAAGTGTACTATGTAAAGTAGATAAATTTAATGAACGTATAACGGGTGGACCATAAATAATGTCCCTCTCCGTATTTTTTTCATAACTCATCCCCCTTTTATCCTAAAAACTTAATTTTTTTTTGAAAGATTCCTTATTCAATTCTGTATAAAATCAATGGTTTTTATTAACGTAAATAACATCCACTGTTTTTAGAAATATTTGACAAACGAACGGTCCAAGATTCACAACTTTCTAAAAT